TAAATCATACAACTGGGTATCTTCTCCAATAGAATGGACATTTCCATGAAAACCATGTATTTTTAGCAGTGTAAACGTTTGGTGTCTAGCAATGCCTGAACGATTAGTATCAATGGTATATGGAATCGAAGCTAATAATAAATCAAATACAAAGTGTGTCAGTGAAACATGGGTTTGGGCATAAAATCTTTAATATTATTGGGATCTATGAATTATTTTTATGTATTTGTCTAACAGATATTTACTAATGCATGTCAAAATATAGTTATATTTTCAAAAAAGAAAACAATATAAATATATCACAAGTTTAGAGAAATAGTATTTTCACTTCTCATTTGCGGCGGAAAATGATTAAACTATATGAATGTACAATATTAAAAGTTAATCTATATTCATAATTTTTTTTCAGTATGTATTTTTATCGAATTTCTTCATAGTGAACTATTTAAAAAATTTCCTTCGTCTATTTTTATTTTAGATTGTTTTTTTCATTTTTATAAAGTTTTATCTTATAATTTATTCCTGGGTGCAGGTGACGATAAGTACTCTTTTGACTGCACCCACACCCACACAGTCAAGATTATTAAAGGGTGTGGGTGTGAGATAGAAACAGCACATATACCAAAACCCACACCCACCCACCCACCCTTGTCGCATTTATTATTTTATACTTTTCTTTCAATTCGAATAATTTTATTTTGACTATTAAATAATTTTTTTCAATAAAAATCATTTTCAAACTTCGTTTTTTTGATGAATTTTACTCAATTAATCATTTTTCGTCTTTTGATTTATCTATATGACAAAAAGCGAATAAAACCATTTTTTATCAAATAAATCACATTGAATAATAATTGTCAATGAAATACTTTTCGAATAATCTCATACAGAGTATTATCTTTTTTATCTTAATAAAATTTGCTGATTAAGAATGAGAAACCAACAGAAAACATTGTTCAGTCTCATTAACGATCATGACTATAAGAGAGAGTCATGAAAAACTCATGCATTGTATTGATATATTCTGTTACAAAGAAACTAAGTATATTTTTTCGTGTAAAGTCTATATGAATTGTTGTCAGTTAAAATCATTGTATAATCTCGTCTTCTTTGTAATAAACGAGTTAATATCGTCTATAGTGTTATAGTAAACAGAGTTCTTCGGAGGTTTTCTGTTACAAAACTCATGATTCCATTAGTCCCTATAAAAGATTATTTGAAAAACTCTTGTTTGTAAGAATTCTCTAGATTTTTTTCATAGTTTCGAATCTGAGTCTAATAAAAATATTCTAAAATTGAAGAATTTTCAATATGAAAAGATTTTCTGTATTGAAAGAGATGAATGAGATGTAACTGATAAATAAAATTAAAATAATAACATAATCAAATTACAATCCTCACAAACTAAAAAACTCAGATTATAAATCTATGAAATGGATTTATTATTTATAATTATACAGTTGTTGAGAATATCAAATGATAAAAATTTCGGTGTGGCTAAGGGATACATGTAACAGCTATACGCACACCCTTATTATTGAGCTTTTCTTTTTTATTTGAAATCGATAATGTTACCAGTTAGATTATTCAACTTTAATTCTGAATGTACTAAAAAGTATAAAACTCAGGTGACTAATCACATTTTCTATATTTCATCTTTATTTTTTATTATACAAAAAAAAATAACAGAAAAAAAAGTGAAATGAATACCACCAAGCCAATATAAATGATAATAGCATCTACCACATACTATGTGTTATGGTATGGTATATCTCTTGCCATAAAGAATGCTCATTTTATTTCATTTCATCACGTATTACTGATACCGTTGAGTATTTAAGAAGTCAATATTGTGAAGAAAATCAAAAAAATATGTATCGTCGGTTAAAGAGACTACAAAAAATTATCTTAATTCCATTCGTTTTTGTATTAATTTTTATATTAATAAGCTATCAATCTGTTCAATATGTAAAATTTCCATCATGTCCAACATCACCACAGTCAATTGAATCAATACTTTCCTCGGATAATTTATCAAATATCGAAGATGAAAAGACTGCTATCGATGATGCTTCTTTACTATGCTTAGACTTAGCACATCGTATTGATAGTGAACGATATTATCCTCAGTCACCAGTTATTTTTTCACCTGCATTTAATCATACAAAAACTTTTCGTTTTCCTTATTATCGTTATTCACATTGGAAATCATCGTCTATTATTCCTCGTGCAATCACTCCATGTGAACACACATTAATGATGCATTTATTAATGATAATTGATCGAATATGTCGTGAACTTAAAATTACATATTTTATAAGTGATGGAACATTATTAGGCTCTCTAAGACATCATGATATTACACCTTGGGATGATGATCTTGATATACTGGTATCATATAAGCACCGAGAACTTTTTACTGATGCACTCAAACAAATAAATAAAACATTGATTGGATTACTCATACATCATGCTAAGATTTCAGAACAAGATTATTATAAATTATATCATATTAATACTCCAAGTGCTGGCGGATATCGATGGAAATTTCCATTTGTTGATATTTTCTTTTATGAACAAAATCAAACTCATTTATGGTCTTTACGGTATCCAGATAGCCCATTTGAAACAAAATATATTTTTCCATTACTTTTAAGACCACTTGGATACTTATGGGTACCA